GATCCAAGAAATGAGTTCCCTTCCTTGCCGTTAACTTCCGCATTGATGCTACTCTCATCGGTGCTGCCCTCTTCAACGCTAACGCTCTCTGCTAAATGGCTAGAGACCTGCGGCGAGTGGTTAGCCAGTCGGTGGGCGTGCGCGTCGATAGCGCAGCGGTTACGGCCGTGCTAGGCGGAACAAACGTGCTCACAATGAAGAATGCCATGAGCACAGCATCGATGTGACTCGCACAAAGCGGAAATCATCGGGGAAAGCAGGGGTCCCACTTTGCAGGCTTAGACACTTAATCTGTGTAGGTGCCCACCCTACGATTTCCCTCGCGGTATCTTTTATACTAGTCGGACTAATCCCTAGGCTTGCCTTTACGTTAACAATTTTTAAGGAACTTTCACTTATATCCTTTCAATGAATTTAAATAAGAATTTCAGGAAAGCGCCGACAAAGAATCATTAATCAAGCTACCTGGTTTTTCTGGAGGCAAGAACAACCCGATGAACGAGAACTACCCTCCATATGGTAATATTCCGATGGGCCAAGGCTTCCCTCAAGGCGGTTGGATCCCTCCATGGGGATACGGTCCCATAAATGGACCTCCATTTGAATATGGTCCTCAGGGCAGAGGCTTCCCTCCTTTCGGACCAATGAATGGAGGCTATTTTCCATTCGGATATCCCCCGATGAGTCAAAACTTCCCTCCGTTTGGATATGTGCCCATGGGCTCTTCTGAGGGATCTAACAGCGCTCACCACGCAAGGAACAGGCAGGCCGATAGTCCATCAGTTCAAGGATTTGGATGGATCTACGAACTGTGAGCACAAGCAGAAGCAATTCAAATTTCTATGAGGAATGAGCCATCCACACAGTGCTGTAACAAAGTTGCAATAAACATTCGATTATGTGTTTGTACTTCACTTGTATGATCGTCTTTGATTTGAGCTTCACAGACCCCATACGTAAAACGTTTTCATCTGATTTTCGCCGCATTTCTACTTCAAATAACAAAATAGGTCAATTACCATTACTGTGACCCTAGAGAGGGTCAAAGAGAATCAAACGTCGCCTATAGAAATTATTCAATGCCCTGATCACGACTATTTCTTTCGTTTTTTGACGTTGATACCATTTGACGCCACACCGTATTTCACGGTGAAAACTTGCGCATGAAAGCTTTTGACCTCCTGACGTTATATGGCTTACAAGTGAGTTGAGGTCTGCCCTCCGTTGGAAAATTGTAGAGGCTTGGACAAAGAAATCCCCATGAACTGACCTGTAATCACAAGAGTGCAACGCGAGCTCTGTCAACATTTTGTATCCTATTCCATTCCCTATGTGGTGGATGAACAACGGCGCTACTGCTGATAAGAAGGTAGTTTTTTTATGGCTAACGACCTGGCGGAAGCGTCAGTGGCTAAGATCGATTAGAAAGGTGAAAAACCCGTACTCATAAGCCAGCAAAGCGAGTTTTGGTCCAGGATAGAGACAACAAATCTCCAAAACAGGCACTGGGAATGTTCTCCGCAGCTTCGGCCTTGGTAAGGAGCTAGGTCTCCTTTGATCAGACCATACAAAAGAGACCAAAACACCAACCTGAAGGCTAATGTGGAAACTCCAACCATGGAGCTGAAAACTCAATAAGACCTTCGTCCGCTCTGCCGACAACATATAAGACACACGACGTGTTTTCGGTAAATAGCACGTTTCTCTAGATTTCAAAGCATAGTTGAGAAGTGCTGTCAAATCCACCGTGCCGATGATTAGCCTCCTTCCAGAGGCCAAACTACTCTTCTGGCCGAAGAATCACCTTATGGACGAAAAATATGATTCAAAGAAGGAGCCCAAAATCACCTTTTCCAAAATCGACCTTTTCCAGCTTGAAACTGCGCGCTTCCTGAAGACCAATGGCGTCGACACTCTGGTGATCGTTTGAAATACAGTACTGAGCATTTTTAGAGCAGGGTGAATAACGGTCGAGGAATTCCTCGACCATGGCTCTCTACTGTGCGAGAGTAGTGTCGAGAGTGAATGAATGCGCGGAGAGCACAGACGGCTCGCAGGTGGCGAGAGTGAGCATCCGCGTGGGAGAGCGTGAAAGAAATCCTCGACGAGCCGTTGTCGTTTCCTCAAGCGATTTTCACCTGTGGTGTCGACTCTATGTATCGATGAGTGGATACTAGTCCCTTTAAGAAAATCGTTAAACTCAAAAAAATGGGCTCAAAGTAGGCCACGCCTTCTGGAACAACACCTTATATAAATGTAGAAAGAGGTATCGCTAACGAGCAAGTTTCTACGGACATTCAAATTGAAACTTGCATAGCAGTTATTAGACATCCTGATCACGATTATGGCAGTAATTCTCGGTGCCAGCGCCGAAATGGTGCCGTTTGATGCCTGCCCCAAAACGGCACTAGTTGGAGCAAGCGCCAAGAATAAATGTTACTTTTGTAAACAGGACACTAAATAATCCCTGTATGCAAGTTTTTAACGAATCTAGTGAGAACAGTTGCTGCGCCATGCCGACGCGATTTCGCGCCAAATTTGGCGCCTTCGCCAACATCAGTGTCCTATTCGTCATCACGGCAATCAGTAAACTCCATGGGAAGCCTTTCATTGGAAAATTCAATTTCTACCATGTTATGCTGTACAGGGCCGGGTTTTTCGAGTTAACTGAAATTGCTCTTTCAATAAAAATGAAATCAAGATAGATCACCTTTGATCAGGGATGCGCAAATTATAATTCGGCTATGAAGATTTCTTCCATCTGAAAAAAAAACATTTTAGGAAACGGAATCCGCTCACTGAAATTTCTATTGAAATCTCGTTAGCCTCTCGTGGCTGACATTGTCCAAAATCAACACCTTCATGTTAGCCACCGATGGCAGACGCTGCCGCGAATGGTTTAGTACTGACTACATCAGTGGGGTTCCGTGATTGCGGTTTAACAGAGGCTGAATTCGTGATGCATAATATCAATAATACCAGAGCGGTTAAAGACTATATCCCTCGGAAACGAGGACCTGGATGACCGCCGACCCGATGATCAGACTTACTCAAGAAAAAGCTCTTGAACGAAAGGAACGAAGGACTTTGTGTCCCTTGAGGAAGTGGGGTTCACTGACTCTTGCACGCGAAAGGGACGAAATGAGACGCTGCTGGCGCCCGCTCGAGCAAATCAACGGGGCGACAGGTGATAGAGGTGGATACCAATAGTTTTATTTGTGCCAATGAATTAACGAGTAAATTGAGCGGTAAATGGCTCTATCGAAGTGGCTGGTCCGTACGCACATGCACCCAAGTTCAGCAGCTCAGAAGGTGTGAATGCATGAAAGTAAGCTTAGAGGATTTATAGGCTGAGTTAACTCTGCTTCGAGGCTTTCCCATGGACGGCTCACATCACCACGTTGGCCAAGTTTCTGAAAACTCATTCTCAAGTTTCCCTGAAACCACGGTTTTATTTTGTTACAGGTATTAGTCATCCTTTGCCTCCGTTGACGCCTGAATGAGGAAGAATTTATGTTGAATAAAGCATCATCGTTAGTGAATGTTTGCATAACACCTCTGTCATCTAATAGTCACTTTTTACCCTATACAGACACCTACGCAAGACTCCCACAGCTGCGAAATAGTTGTCATTCAAGAATTCAGTTAACGCTTCTTCACGCAGCTCTTTCTCGTGGGAAATCACTTAGCTGTGCTGCAAAATGCCTTGTTGAATGTTAGATTCTGCTGGCCAGTATTCTCCCTCATGCTTGGAAGTCTGCTTTCCTAGTTTCCGCGATCCCTTTTGTGTTTTTGGTCCTGCGTAAGTATATTGCTCGATTTCCCGTAGAATTCGCCTTCCAAAAGGTGGAAAAATAAAGTGATTTGCATCAAGAGACCGCTTTGGAAGCAGGGCCAGCAATTTCCTGAACAAATGTTGGCGACAAGGCGTCTTTCTAACTAGTTCCCTCAACGTCGTACCTCTCCCTCCTATGTATACTAACAATAAGAAGCTCATCCACCGTCGAGCTGAAGGTGGTGGAGGAAATAGCCGAAATAGTAACATTCTTCCGCTATCTCAATATCTCAATTGGTCATATTTCAATTCCATCCCGGAATTGAAATGCCAATTTCATCTCACAATCAATCACATCATGACACCAACACCCCATATAAGGCAAACCATTGCCATCATTTTTGTGTCACCAAATTTCGTACATGGTAAGGCTGGTGTCAGGGTGCGCGATTCGCGCGACGGATCGCAGAAATCACAAGTGCCCGAGCAATACTGCGAGGTGCTCTCTAATCCCTGCATAATTTTGCTTGATAGCGATGGACTGAATGACGTCTGCTCATGATTCTACTTGTTTGATATTGCAGTGTTTCAAATGTTCAAATGGGGCACTTG